AATTTTCATTAATTTTCCTCATATATGTACTTACGGTATTCGGGAATCTTTACAACTGCAATATTGTACTAAAAATTATTAAAACGTGCCAAAAAATTAATCAATAATCAAAACATAAGTGCTAACATTGAACGGAATCATGTCAAGTTTTTTTTTGGTACAATTTACACAGTTCATTTAATGTCTGCTCCCTCTACATAAAAATTTCTAAATGAAATTTGAATAGAAAAAAATTTTTTATTGATTGAATTTTGTTTTGTTCTTGATAAGTAGCCTCTCCATTGAATTTTATTGAATATTTTTCTTTCTACTCTAGAAAATATTCTAGAAAATTCAATTTCATCACCATTCTTAACAGCGGCTTCTCTATTATAACCAACATCATCTCATTTATGATAGAAAAATTCTGAAGGTAAAGTTTTCCTATACAATTTTTTCCTCTTAAATCGATTTAGATCTTTTGTTTACTTTTGATTTTCGCCAAAAAAGATGAAGAAAATAATAAGAAAATTTTACTTTCTTCACCGGTTTTATTCATACAACTAATTCGGCATAAAAATTCAAGAAAATTCAATTTTCTTCATTTTTTCATTTTCAAAAGTTTTAAGGAGTATGAATGAATCAATTGCTTGTATTTTTTTTTGGTATGAAATTATTTCAAAGGTGATTAAGTACAACATAAAACAATATTAAAGGATTTGGAATATTAGCACATATAACATACATATATAAAAATTAAATGTTTAAGCTATTGAAATTCTAGACTATTGAAAGTTTTATTTTGGAATGTTAACAAGAGAAGAATAATTAAAAGATTTTTTGAAAAACTTCTCTACTTATGTATACATACAGCACTTTATGTACATTTAATAAAATGTGATTAGAATTAACATGTGGAGATTATTACCTATTGTAATTGGGCTTCAATATAGAGGAAGAGTCAGGAAAAATTTCAATGAAAAATCAACATAACGAGAAGAAATTATTTTGTTAAGTAATCTTTTAAGTTTATTTTGTTAATTTTTTAATACTTATTTAATAAATTATATTTTTTTAACAGAATAGAAGATAAATAATAAGTTTCTTTTTTTGTTTTAGGCATAGTAATAGAATAATAATAGAAAAGATTAGAATTTATTAAAATCATTAATTAATAATGAGTAAATAAGTTTAAATAGGAAGATAGAGTAAAATCAGTTTTACCATACAGCGCACATTTAAATTGAAAATGAAATAATATTACATTTTCTAATTCATAAAAAAGGCATAGAGTGCCTTTAAAGGCAACTTGGAAGTTAACCCATTTAACATGCGAACCAAAATAAAAATATTAAACGAGTGCGTTAAGTTAGTGCTGTTTTAGGGGAAGCGAAACATCGTTGGTGTTCAGAGCTAGCATACAAAAGATACAGGTCTTCATTAATAAATGTCTAATGCAAAATTAACACATTTTAAGACGACCAGAAACAGCAGCAACACGTCAAAATTTGGAATGGCACCCTTAAGGGTTAAGATCTGTGGGATGTCCAAAGGAGACATGGGCGATAAGTGTGCATGAAAGAATTAGAGCTTATCAATAAAAGACTGACACAAAAAAGAGAAAGTTGAAGAAGCTATGTTCCCTAGGAGAATAATAGGAAACGAAAAATAAATCATTTTCTTAATTTATATATAGGGCTAATATATTAATTAAAAGTTTAAACTTAAGTAATTCATGCCTAATTTAAGTATAACTATGCTATCAAATGTATTTTTAGTCAAAAAATAATAGAAAATTACTCATTTTCTAGAAACAACTTTATAATATTAAATAAATTAAATCCCGTGAATCATGAAAAGCTACTGTAACCAGAAAATATCAGAAAAATTCGTAATATTCTTTAAAAAATGAACCATTTGAGCACCATGTACTCAAATGCTGTACTCAAAAACTTAGTCTTGCAGATCTAATGATAACTTGATAAATACGAGTAGATTAAGTCATTGTTAAATTTGCATTTGAATAATAATATTGATGGTTTATTTTGAAAATGGTGTACAGCCGCTTTCAATTTGGGTATTTGATTCACGATTGATCTAAATTTCAATTCCAACTATTGAAAATTATCGTTGATTTCGAAAAATTGCAGGTCTCTTCCAAAATAAATCATCCATATAGTTTAAAAATCGAACATTAGACAATTTCTGCCTATGTAATTAAAATTTAAATTTATGAAATTTTTTATACCAATTGAAAAACTTCTACTCACAATATTTTATTAATTATGTGTATTAATTTTTGGGATAATTTTTTAAAATTTAATTTTCAATTTTAGAAAAAGTTTGTGTTTTAATATAAAATTTTCATTAAATGTGAATAATTATGTAAATTTCAAAATTATGAAAAATATGACCAGAATTGGAACAGTTCATCAGACTGTACGTAACACTTTAATATCATTCATCTGTGTTTTTTTATGTTCATACTTCAAAGGTATATCAAGGTACATATAAAATATTACATAATCTAATCATATTCTAATCTTATCATTTAGTACCTACTACCCCAAATTTCTGTAACATTCACTTGTACTTTTACTTATATAATTAAATTAACATTTTAATTATTAAAAAAATTTCATATTAACCTCTTAATTAAATAATATTCAATTAATAAAAATATTATCTTTAACATGGTTATTTTCTATACAATTTTATTCAACTTTTTTCCTCCTCCTCCTGTTCCTCCTCCTCCTACTACTACTAAAACCAAATTCAAAAAACAAATAAAAAAATATTAAACAAAAACCATAATATGTACATTACAAACATATATACATAATTCGAAATATTTGTAATACATATGCATATGTACAAAATACATACATGCATATAGGCAACATCAGAAAATTTAAATGAACGTATTAATAATAATTGATCTATGTGTACTCCTTAATAAATATTATTAAAACCAGGCGGACTATTTGGATATTTATAAAAAAGAAAATTCATCATCAACATGTACCAAATTTAATGAAATATCAACGACAACTCCTTCAACAAAATTTCGTAAATATAAAAATATAAGATCATTTAAAAGACAATTATCAAATGAAAGTTTTATTCAATTACAAATTGAAGATGATAATGAGGATGATGATGATGACGATAATAATGTTAAAAGAAAATTTAAAATTCCATTTATATCTTTAGATAATTCAAAAATAAAAATTAAACCGTTCCTGTTACGTCGACATCCAAAACAAAATTCATCACCAATATTCATTGATGAAGGGCATCGACAATTTTTGAATCCTATTAGCTATTTAGGTGGACCAATAATGGATATACGAAATAAAAGTAGCTTAGAATCAGTTTTATCACTAGATTAATTTACTTAATTTATTTTAAATTTTTGGAGAAAAAAATTTTCCTAACTTATGTGTAATTAAAAAAAAAAATGAATTATTTATTTATTTATTTAGTTTTCATTTTAATATTGTTACTTAAAATAAAATAGAAAAAAGTATTATAAAAGTATTAATTATTTTTTTTGATATAATTAAGTAAAGTAAAATAATTTTGTAAATTCAAAAATGCATTTAAGGTAAGTTTTGAAAACAGAAAATTGGAAATGCTATACAATTGTGGGTTTACATGATTTCAACTCATTTCATTGCCGTAAATTTTTGTATTAGAGAATTATTTTGAACTCAAATCACTCTTCAATAACTTTAAGACAATCTTGAAATCTTTGGTATTAAATTTTCTTTTAAAAATTACATCAAATCTTTTAATTATATTTGCTCCAAATTATTAAATCTGATCCAAATAAAAAATTTCGCCTAATTGCAGCACATTGTTTACCTAAGTATAAAATAATACAGGGAAGGGCAAAAATTAAATTCGAATTAAGTTTCATTCCAGTAATAAAGCAGAATAATGTAAAATTTAAATTGTTCGATTTAAAAACATTTTGATTATTTAATGTTTTTACTTTTTTTAAAATACAATTAAATATGTAAATCGATTTTATATATCTAAAATTCAACAATCAACACTCATCATACACTTAGGTGTAGTCTGAGATTTGAAATAATAAAAATTCTTATTAAAAAATTTACAATTAAATTTTGTATGTATTTTTAAATTTTCTTTTTTTTTTTTTTTATAATATTATACATTTATGTTCTGAAAATACATTAGGTCGGTTCTTCACTCTTAGTTAACAATGCACAAACAGAGAATTTTTTAAATTTAAATCCTCTGTTCCTATTTCTATTATTTATAAGTCAACCATTTTAAATGGATTCAATTTTATATGTATATGTACTTTAATTATTATTTAATTATTTAAAAATTTATGTAGTAAACTACAAATATTATTTTAATATAATTTTGTTTTTTAATTTTAAATTTTTCTTAAAAAAATTTTAAAAATATTTTCTTTATTTGTTTAGTTATTTTGTTTACATATTTTTTAATTTTTATTCTTTTATATAAATTTTAAATATTTGATTGCTTCCCAAATGGGGCGATATATGTATTTATATATATTTAAATCTTAAGAGCTACACAAATTGTTTCAAATGATATTTTATAATTAAAATAAAAATGATCTTCTGGTCTAATATTACGTTTTGAAAACAAAAAAAAAAAAAAAAAAACACAAAATTTTTGTTATATTTTAATATTTAAAAATACTTATTACCAGAAAATTATGAAATTTAAAATAAAAACAGATATGAGATCTTTTATAAATGTGTTATTCTTATGTAGTGTGTTAAAAAACACTGCAATACAAATTTTTTTTTTAATTTTTAATTGATTATTAAACACGCGGTATTTCTAAGATTACGTGAAATGAACTTCATAATTAATATTATAATATTTTGTATAGACTTCATTTAAAATGTATTTTTTTTTATAAGTTAGATAAGAATTGCAAATTTGTTTAGTTTTTTTTGTTGTTTTGTTTAAATAAAAATAATAAGTCTTATGAAAAAAATTAAACTAAAATTATCTTATATAATTTGCTATTTACTTTCAATATTTTTGTTTTTTTTTTTGTTTGTAATTGAATTGGTCAACTATTATATTGTGTATAAGGTACGCTAATACAGATGACAAATTTTAAAATTCTATTCTATTTAAGAAAATCAAATTATATGAGAAATTAATAATTATTATCTTTCATATTTATAAAACTTATATTATATAAATGGTAGGTATTAAAAAGTGGGTATAAGAAACTAATTTCTGATATTTTATTAAGCATCTCTACTTGGAAGAAAATTTTTGCGATATTTTAAAAGTTTTGCTCATCATGTCAATGCTGGTGTATCCTTCTTTGTATCCTCACTTTTTGTCAAATCATCAGGCTCAGTTGTATCCACTAAAAATAAAAATTATTTGTATTCAAAATAGAAATTCAAAGAATAAATTACATGTACTAATAATAAAAAAAAAGCTTGTATAAAAATAAAATATAAAAAGAAAGCGTACTTTTATTCTCTTTTTCGTCTTTTTCACCTGTTTCAGATTTAACACTATCTTTATCTAAACGAGGTCGTTTCCTTTGTCCCTTATAATTTCGATTATCGCGTCTACCACCTTCACCTTCATCTTCAGAATCAGAAAATTCATTGTCAGGAACGATTCTTTTATCTTTGTCACTTTGTGGTAGTCTTTCATCTTTGTCAATTTTATCCTCATCATCAGATTCTTCATTCACAGCATCTTCGGGAATGGCTTGTACTTGTACCCCAGGAGCATGAGGAAGCATACGAAGATTTTCAAAAAGTCTATTAGAAAAAAAAAAAATAATAATTTTCAATTTAAGAGCACCGGAGAAGATATATATATAGATACTAACTTACCTATTTTTAATTTTTTCTAAATATTCAGTTGTATTTTGATTGGACATATTACTTGGACTTATATGCAATTTAAAATCTGGACCAAAATATTCGAAATAATCATTATATGGTAATTCATTTGCTATTTCTACACCCAAGGCAACTGATGTCTCATAAGTCCAACATCTTGATACGTTTCTAATTGTGTATCCACCACCACCAACCATTAAGAATGGTAAATTATATTTTTTAACAAATTCTACACATTTTCCATGTCCTTTTACAGTTAAATTAAAGCAACCTAAACGATCACCTGTTAATGAATCTGCACCACATTGTAATACAACTGCTGATGGTTGAAATGTTTCCATAACTTTTGATATAATTGGCACAAAAATTGATTCATAAGCTTCATCATCCATTCCATCTCTTAATGGTATATTAACTGCATAATATTTTCCCTTCCCAGCTCCTATATCCCTTAAGTCACCTGTACCAGGAAAATATTCTCCATATTTATGAAAACTTACTGTCATTACTCGATCAGTTGTATAAAATGCTTCTTCGACACCATCTCCATGATGAACGTCAATATCAATGTAAAGAACACGCTGGTGATATTTCAATAATTCAAGAATACCAAGTACAATATCATTAACATAGCAAAAACCAGATGCTTCACTTTTTTTAGCATGATGAAGACCACCACCCCAATTAATACATATTTCAGTTGCTTGTTTATTAAGTTTAACTGCAGCTGCAACTGATCCTCCAGCAGATAGTTGACAAAATTCATATAAACCATCAAATACTGGACAATCTTCTCCTACATTAAAACGTTGCATTTGCTTATTATATTCAGTCATATTATCAGGTCGAATTGAACGAAGAAATCGTATATACTCATCTGAATGAAACTTTGTCATTTCATCAGCAGTAGCTTTATGAGGACGCTAAAAGCAAAAAAAAAAAATTTGAAACTATTTAGATTTATATCTTTTTGAAGAATATAATTTTTTCCTTTATTTTTTGTTAGGTTGGGGACTCCTAATCATTTACTTAAATTAAAAAATTAGAAAAAAACTTACATAGATTTCCATTTTTCTATACAATCCATAATTTAATAACAAATTATGGGTCATACGGATACGGTGTGGTTTCATGGGGTGACCCTGTCCATAATAATAATTTCCAATATCACCTGCAATTATTAAATTGTCATAATTATTGGCATTATTATACTTAAGAAACAATTAAGAACATCATATCTTAAAATGTAGACTTTTTCAAACTTTATTGTAACTAATTCATTGTTCACTTTTCGCTATTCCTAACGAGAGGCCATATTTGATATTAAAAAGCAATATTGTAAATACAAACGCGCAAAACTAGGAATATTAATGACATGCCACCGTAGAAAGTGTACTTAGAATTAGTTGAAATAAAAAGTTTGAAAACATCATATTCATTCTACTTCACAAAAATATTCAAACATAAGTTAAATTACACATATATATTATAAATAATTGCATCAAAGATAATTTTTTTTAATAAAATATCAATATAATTTAAAATATTGAAAATAATCGTAAAAGTTGTAATAAAACTTACTATCATAGTAGTAACAAACTCTCTTTTTATTATGGGCCTGCATGTTCTCTTATGTTTTATTTTATACTTTAATACTTTTTAAATTATTTTTATTTGAAAATAACTATTAATTAATTGTATTTTATTTTATTTTAATTAAAAATTAAGAGCCGACGAAACGAGCGTCCACTAACTTTTGTTTTCAATTTTTAATTTGATATGTTGACTTTTAGTGTGTACACAAACCATAACTACGTATATGCAAAGTGTTATAAATGAAATGAAGAACAATGGCAGCACTTATTATATGATTCCTCACGTGTCAAATGTCAAAAAAATTTGACAACATATTTTTTCATTATCATATGTACATAATTTAACTGAGTATGGTTGTGACATTTTGTATTGAAATAGTATGTAAACAAAATTATTTATAATTTGAAAACTAAATATGTATTTGCAAGCAATTAAATATTGAAATCAAAATATTAGCTCTCAATTGCATGTAATTTACTTGTGTGTTGAAAAATTAATTTACATTTTTTAATCTTTTTAATAATAAATCATAACATAAATCAACTACAATATTCACAATGTAAATATGTGATACTTCAAAAAATATAATTGTATATGTACATGTTTTTCAGTTTGCAGAACTGCCATATGCATATGTACATATTCTATATTGCGATTTATTGAATCAAATTTAAAAACTGAGAAATTAAAACTACTGTCAAAATCAAGTCGCAATATTTAATAATAATAATATACCAGAACCTTTTACATGCTATGCAGTAAAAAAAAATTTAAGTAATTTTAAAGATTTTACTGTATACAAGTTATACATGAAAATAAAATTTTTTAAAAATATCACCTGTAAAATGTTGACATGATTTTGTTTCAGGTCAACGCGTAAGCTATTGTTGTCATTACTGACATGATTTTGTCCAGCCGGCTTAATTGAAAATGGAACTAAAAAAGGGAACGTATCGTATATTATGCATATATCACAACATACGCTCCCTTAAATAATATGAATAAATTACATTGTAGCTTAAAATTAATGAAGCTACAAAATTCGACTGTTTCTTAAAGCTATAGCTCAGTGTAACTTTCAAAGAACATTTTTTTACGGTTTAAATATTATATTGTTGATTCCTGTCAAAAATTGACACCAATTATTGTCCAATGTCAAACGAAACTTTTACGGTCAAAAATTACGTATTGAAATGAAACTCTATTGTGACTATTGTTACAAGTCAATTGTAACATGACATATAAATATTTTGATTTGATTATGTGGCTAAATATGAAAAAATTAAAATGTTACGGCAAAGCAAAATTTTTTCAATATTATTTTATATAATTTATGTAAAAAATCAAAATATGTACAATATCGTTTTCATTCTAATCAGTCATTTTTAAATACGAAGTAAGTAAGGTACACAAATTTTTCAAAATTAATTTGACATTTCGTCGTCGAAATATAATCGCTTTTGTTTCATGTTCAATGTGCCACTATCTATTTTCAAGCATAATATTTTGGGTGATTAAATTTATTTGATAAAACATATTGAAAAGACCGGTTCTTCATTGTCTTTCGTAGTACATGCATTATGTTTCAATTTCCATTATTTCATTTCATTAAGTTTATTGGGTAAAAAAGCTATTTAAAAAACAACAACAACAATAAAATAATACCGCTTATCGGTTGTCAAAATGGTATCTTTTTGTGAATACAAACAAAAAAAAAAAAAACAAAAATACATACATGCAGAAATATTGGAATAGGAACTAAAAAATTGAATTGAAACAAACGAAACGACCATATTTGCTTTATTTTTTGATTTCAGATTTCAGTTCGGTTCGAATAGTTGTGTTATTGATATCGGTGGTTCGTCGTAGAATTTGCTGAAAGTATAGAATAAAAAAATTTTTTCTGTTTCAAAAGTAAATTGTTAGAATTTTCATTTTTTTTATTATCTATGAATTTGATGAGAAAAAAAAATTTTAAATTTGAGAAATAAATTCATGAATTTTATGAAAAATATGGAAAATGCACTAAATATTTATGTGTATTTATGATTTATTGATCAAAAGTGCTTTTTAGTTTTTAAAATAAAAAAAAATTAAAATTGTAAAGAAAGTAGTGCCCCAAAAGAAAAAAAAAGGTAAAGAGAAAATAAAAAAATAAAAGGAAAAAAAAAAGAAGTTGATGGTGGTAGTTTCAGTTTTCGGTTGGTCGTTGGTGTAAATTCGGTGTGGATTGGTGAAAATTTCAAGAGCTCGTAAAAAAAAAATATAAATTTGAAATAAAAAAGAGAAAAGCTCTTTAAAATTTTTTATTAAAATTGAAATAAAATTAAAATTTTTATTTATTTTTTAATTACAAATTAAAAATAAAAAATTCAATTAATCTGCCGACATTTATACAAAAATTTTTTTTTTGTTATTTGGATTACTTTTACTTCAATAGTGGATTATCAATAGTTTTTTTTTCTTGTATTTATCAACAATTTGCACTGCAATAAATTTTGTGGATATTTTCAACTTGGATAATTAAATGGATATCTTAAAATGAAAGGTAAGTGGATAATAGTTTTATATGAAATTAACGAATTAATCATTTAAAATTATTATTTCCAAAAATATTTTTAGTTTCTAGATAGGTAGCTGTTATAAATCGGACTTGTGTATAATATACAAGGCCCCGTAGACTGTAGTTATAGGTAAATAACATTTTCAGTATAAAAAGGATATTTACCTACCCATACAGTGAAAATTTACCTTGAAATATTGTTAAAAAATGAAAAAGGACAGTTGAAACAGAAGTCAGAACAAAAAAAAATAAAAAAATACGGAATGAAAAGGAAAACCAAAAAAAAATTTTTGTTTGTTTGCAACTTCAATGTCTGCTCACAATTTTTTCTAAAACTTCTCATTTTATAAAAAAAAATTAAATTGAAAATTTTATGACACAAAATATTAAATTGTGAAAAATATTCTATGATTCAAGAATTGAACGCATAAAAAACATATTCTAGAGATAACCTACTATTTACATATTTATAAAAAGAATGTCTAGACTAGATGGTGTCCCAGGAATTTAAAAAATGAAAATTTCAATTGAATTGATTTTGTAATTATAATTATTATTTTCAAAACAAAAATTGAATATTGTTTTAAAGTAATTATATCAAGCAAATTAAAATTTAGCTTGCAATTTAAATAAATTACTGGTTATTGGAGTGATTGTAGAATAATTGGAATGAGGGTGGACTATGATTAAAATTTCCTGCTTATTTTAACCATAAACTACTTATAATATTTACTTATAGGTAAATGGATTCATTTATTTAAGCAATTAATTTAGAATTTTTAAAATATCTATACGAAAACGCATTAAGAATTAATACCTACTTAGATTCGATGTATTATTGAACAATATAATTATTATTAAAGACTCTAATTAACAGTTGTATAGGTACCCAAATCCTAGATTTTGAATTTCATCTAAAATGCATTCTAATAAATAAGTTTGGTTCAGGCAAAGTGAATAGATTTTGTTTGGAATTGTTCAAATTCCTCAAAAGTACTTATAAATGGTTTTTACTTCACTTGAATAATGATTAGTGACATAGGTTTGTATGTAGTTACTTAAAATATTACTTACGTATTTGACTACCTACTTTTAAATTTATCACAAACTTTGCATATCTATCAATACCTTCCTCGCTAATAAAAAATCAAAACCATATCCAGTAAATAACTAAAAATGAATGAATTTTATAAACAAGTAAATAACTAGTTACTTATATTTAAATTAGTAGGTACTTATATATATATGTTTTATATATTATTTAAATTATTACGCTTTCAACAATAAAATAAGATCAATGAACTCGAAAATTCGAAAACTATAAATATGGCTAGATAATTTCAAATTGTGTAAACGTAACTATAGTTATTCTTATCTATTAGTACGACGTATTTGGTTTGAAATTAAATTTAGTTACTGGTTAGTACTAGTTAATTCACATGATTACATTTTTAAAACTTAATTTTTTGATTATTTAAAATTTGAATTAATTCTCTTTGAAGTAATTAAAATCAAAATTAAATTACGTGGTTATTTATTTTTAAAATATTATTTTCTATGAATTTAATAGTTTCAAATTTTTTCTTTCGAAAAGAAACTACAAACTAAACAAAGTACTTATTACTTAATATTGTTAGGTACTTTGAGATCATTTTATATAATTAAAAACTAAAATATAAATTGTAAATAAATTAGATGTGGGAAATAAATAAAACGTAATAAAAAATGAAGAGATGATAAGTGAATTAAACAAAAGAAAGAAAAAAGCATAAGTATTTTTATTATCTTAAAGAACAGAATAAAAGTTTCAAGAAACAGATGTTTCTTATTTTAGTTTTGAGTATTTTATTTTTGCTTTTGTTTCATTGTTTGCCTTTTTATTATTTCCCTTGTTTAAAATTTTAATTTGCGATTGGTTTTTATTTAATATGAAATTTTTTGTTTCTGAAGAAATTCGACTTGAATCATAATTTTACGAACTTGCATTTATGTACGTATTTTATTTGTTTGACTAAAATTGAGTTGCTAAAATTATGTTGATATTTATTTATTTATTTATTTATGTTGAAAATAAAACAATTTATTTAATAATAATTAAGTAAATTTAGGAAGGTACAGTCGAAGACGCTTTGTTATAACACGCGCATATAATCAAAACTCCTTTGCATATTTTGCTCATATGGGATTTTTCTAATTCTTCATAATATTGAGGCTTATTCCGAGTATTCGAACCTATGATGTTTATTGTAATGCTAGTGATATTTATTGTAAAATCTGATAAAAGAGATTTTTCTACCTATACTTAACACAATTGCATAAATAGGAGTAATAATTGTGAGTTCAATTAGCGTATTTACCATGCCTGCTCGATTATTACTTATATTTATAGATTAGTATTTGTAAAATTTTTATTAATAAATTTGTAAAATCTTTAAACATTTGATTCGTAAATGAAACTTTTTAAAATGGTTGTAAAATCTAATTGAATTTTCGAAAGAGCCCGTATTATTGGAGCAACATACCTAAGTATAAGAATTAAAATACTTTATTTCTTGCAGCTGGAAATGAAATTAATTAATTGAAATCAAAATATTAGTCCCATATTTAAATTGAATTTCTTCGGTGGTTTATTTTCTGCCTCAAATTTTTTAATGTAATTTAAGGATACTTATTTATTTAACATCTAATGCAGCGTCTATAAAATAATTATAATCACACGAATTGTATAAAATAATAAAATTTACCGAATTTAATAAATTTATTCACTAAAATACCATGTATATGTGGGTATATATATATATAAATTTTTAATTAATTAAAAACCTTCTAGGAATGTAAAATAGAACCACATTTAATATACATACATACATACTTATCTTCTTACATATTTATTTATTGATAATAATGTAAGTAATTATACGTGAGTAATTGTGTGGAATTAAAATATTAATGATAAAGGATTAAAGTTATTGAATTAATAATTAAAATTATTTAATTATTAATTAAATGATGTTAGTAAAATGCATGAATTTTTTATGCGTAAAACGTATTATGTGCATGTATGTTAAAGAGTAGATGGTGCCGGTTTAAGAAGTTCTGATTAAAGTAAAAAAAAAAAATTCTCTATTTTTAGGAAATCGGGTTAGAAAAGAAAATTCTCTTATAGGTTAAATTTCTGCTACTATGAATTTTTGTTAAATTTTTCTAAAAAATAATTTAAAAATGTTATTGGAAATGTTAAAAAAATTATTTATTTAAAAAATTAAACCTATTATAAGAGGTTTGGGTATAAATGAAAAGAAATTGCATCTGACCACAAAATATAAGATAAAATAAGGGCTATTACGGTAAACCATAAATAATTTAGTTATGCAAATCTTCTGCAAATTCCCTTGATTTTATGTAAGTTTAAAAATAGCTTTAATTTTTCAAATACCCAAAATTTGAGATTTAACTTTAAAATATTTAAGATTTTTGAATTTATTATAAGAACTTATGTATTAAGGAGTAGTTCTAACTAAAGAATTTCTTTCTACCCTAAAATATAATTTTAAAATCACTGCATATGAGTTTAATATTATTTTTGTATAAAAGCACGAACATATTTAAGAAAATAAAGTAGAAAAACAAAAAAAAAATTGTAGAATAAATCAGCTTAAGTGTTAAAAACCCCCAAAAAAATTTTTTTTGCAGTTAAAATTCAATTCTTTTAAAATAATAACAAAGTAGAGAGAAAGGAGTCCATTAAAATAGATGTTATTTTTTCATTGTTTCACGACCGGATTCAGACATTTTTTTTTTTTGAAAAAAATATTTTTTTGTATGAAAATTGAAAAAAAAAAAAATATTGTTCTCGACATATTTATGTTTTCCTTTTTTAACCTTTAATCGCCTTAAAGAATAAAAATAAAGTAAAGTACAATTTTTATTTTTCTTATATCCTTATTATTCACACTCCCACAACACACTACTTATATCCTGTAGTCTCTCTATTTTTCTATTTCATATGTGGTAAAAGTGCTCATTGCAAAAAGTTTTTTTTTTTTTTTTCATCCACTGTTTAATCCTAAGAAAATCTGAAAAAAACTCTTGGACTTACATACATGTATAAGTATTAAAATTATTTTTAAATAAATTATCTAACTCTTAGTAAGTACTTACTTACTTAGTTTAATATAAAAAAAAAACATTAATACTTGAATATATATATATATATATATATATATATATATATATATATATATTTAATGTATTGGAGATTAAAATAGAATTCTTATTAATGGAAATTTTTGCAATATTGTACTGTATTTTGGGGGTTTGTTGCTAATGCATAAGTACTTTTTAAGTATAATGATATTTTTAAAATTATTAGGTATGTAGATTTTTATTGTCAAAATGAACTAAATCTTCTTATAAATGTTATACAATTTCAAAAAGTTGAAAAATATTAATTAAAAATTGTTATATTAAAAAAGAGATTGAATCATATAGTAATAACTCAGGTGAGAATCGGACTAACTCTGTACTACTTAAGTTAACGGAATTAGTTTTCGAGAAGTTGCCATGCTAGTGGAAGGTTGTGTTACCCTAATATAAAATCAGTTCTTAGAATTAATTAATTATTTAGATACTTAATTGGAATTATTAGAACGCAGTGTTTTAACTATAGTTAGCTAGTTGAAATATAACCAAGTTTGGACATTGATTTTAGTCATGAATTCCAAGGCATTATGACGCAAGTGTAATAAAACCTAACATAGTTGCAAAGAAAATTAAACTGAAGTAGGAATGAGGAAAATGACACATAGAGGCAAATAATTAATAACATTATAAAAGTTTAAATAATAACATTATTTAATTATAAATTAAATAATTAATAAAAGAGAACATTTTTTAGTCTCGCAATTGCATTGCCGTTGCCATACCAGTAATCTCTGTAATAAAGGAGAACTCTCAATATTTTTATGGTATTTAATACATATAAA